CATCTCAATAAAGAATAACAATACCCTTTCATTTCTCATGTTTTGTAATCATACTTCATTTGTCTTTTGATAAACTAGCTATTGTTATCTTTATGCAATTCATACAAAATTTGTATTGCTCTATCACATTATATACAGTTCGTTAGAAGTTATAACATACAAACCCTAATTTATTCGCAAAATTTAATTGTGCAAGCATTAAATTATACACGTCAGATGCATCTACTTCTTTGTCTTCAAAACTTCTTATATCAGTTACATTTATCAAGTAAGTTTCAATGTTTGAAATGAATGTCGAGCGATCAAATTTTATTGGTGGACACACTAAATCAATTCTCTTTCCTAATGGCTTTGTTTCTATAAGGATCAGGTTTAACTTTGATAAGAGTGTTATAGGGGTCATTCTACCGTATTTCGCCAGGTCTATCCGGCGACCACGCCCAAATTCACTGAAACTTTCATGGTTTGTAGAGAATTTTTCGCTGATCATTTTGATAATAAACGTTTTTAAAATAAACTCTGTTCTCGCGAAGATATGGGTCAAATACGAAAAATGCACTTTTTTCAACAACAAAAAATGAAACTTGTAATTTTATCGAAATAGCGATGATAGTCCCACTTTTTTTACTCGGATTTTAAAAGTAATCACATTTTCGAATTCCTCGTGCAAAACTGCATCAGAATCCATAGGAATTAAAAAGATTTGACGAATTTTATACAGTCCACTAGGTCCCTAAGTAATGTACTAGAGAAACACACTGTTTGAAAAAATCGATCAGAAAGTTGGAATGAACCAGAATGGTGGTATTAGCAGTTCGATAGAGCGAAACTTGCTCTACAACGTGGACTATTGACTTTTCTCCACACATTCGATTTGGAAAGCAGCGGTCGTCAAGGATACTTTATATCACAATTTTTCAGAATTTTTTTACATTTTGACCATTAAAATTCAAGTTCTGTGCAAACTAANCATAAAAAACTGCATCGAATACCTTATATTTTAGCGAAATATTTTTTTCCATTAAAATTTGACCCGCAGGGGAGTACAGGACAAAATTCAGAAATATATGGCTGAGGGGAAGTACAGACGAAATCTTGGTGGAAAAAATATTTCGCTAAAATATAAGGTATTCGATGCAGTTTTTATGCTGATTCTGAATATCATGTTTATTTTGCACTGAAATTGACTTTTAATGGTCAAAATGTAAAAAAATTCTGAAAAATTGTGATATAAAGTATCCTTGACGACCGTTGCTTTCCAAATCGAATGTGTGGAGAAAAGTCAATAGTCCACGTTGTAGAGCAAGTTTCGCTCTATCGAAGTCTATGCCAACTTTCTCGTTCATTCCAACTTTCTGATTGATTTTTTTCAACAATGTTCTTCACAAAGTTAACAACAGGACCGCACAAAATTGCGTGAAAACTTTTTCGATTCCTATGAATTCTAGTGCAACTTCTCACGAGGAATCTGAATATGTCATTGATTTCAAAATTTGACCGAAAAAAGTGGAATTTCATCAATTTTTCTATCAAATGCTGCGTTGATTTTTACAAAAATGCAAAAAAGTGCTAATAGTATTTGCTCTGTATCTTTGCAAAAATGAGGTCTAACTCTAAAAATCTTGTTACCAAAATGATCAGCGCAGAAAGCTCTACAAACTCTGAAAGTTTCATTAGATTTGGACGAGGTCGCCGGATGGGCTGGCGACATCCGGTGGAAATACCCATAGGTGATCTCAATATAGATGTCATATAATCAGTTAATTGTAAATTATTTGGAGATCTCAAATTATTTATCTTCTTTATAGGAGTCTTGTAAATATCATTAATTTGCTCATTAATAATGTGACAATAAATATAATTATTTTGCAAAAAAATAAAATTTTCAATATCCAATTTTAATAGTGACGATAATCTAGCAAATATTCGATAATTCTTTGCCATGCAGTTCTATTCCTTTTTTTTTCTACTTTCACCATTTAGTATTTGCATGTTGTAATTTCAGATAGTTTTTTCTGTATTGTAAATGAATAGATGATATTTTGAATTTGACAAAATTGAATATCACGTCTTCATTCTTAGCAGTTCTCAAGACATTTAAATTACATTTTAATTTATCTATTTGTAATATAGCTCTTCCATATACATTATCAAGACAATAAGATGTTATCATATAGTAAAACACAATTAGAGAAAGTGAAAGAGAAAAGACAAGATATATATATATTTTTTCGCTCGACTAATCATTCAGGTGAACGACAAGTACCTTTGTCATTTAAATATACAGTTTGTAGATGTGAGTGAAGAGAAGATCACACCCATACTCTGTTGTAGGATCTAGAAAAAGATGTGGATATCACATTATAGCAAGTTGCTCAGTGTTTAGTAGCAGAAAATGCAGATTTTTTTTGTGGTATTTTCCTTTGAGTGAAACAAGATCAAGATTGCTTTTTGTTATTTCATGAAAGAATTGTATAAATTTTGCAATTGATAAACTTCAAAAATTAAAATTTTCATTTAAGTATGACAAAATTCAATACAACTTGCGTTAAGTAAATCACATGCGAACGCACATGAGTTATTTACGTCATGTGTTTTGTATAACTAAAAGGAGCTAATCTAACAGCCTACTTCAATGCAATCCAGCAGAAATAATATAAGGCTCAGAGGATTAAAATATGCTTCTGTCACGAAGTTCTTTTCTTTCTGAAAAGATATATGGTTCAAGTTTTCTTTTGTTTTGTATACAAGCCATTCAATTTATTTGAAACGATCTACATTGATATTTTCTTCGTTAGTGACTTATCGAAATTTTGTGATTCTTATATCAATCTATCATACTCAGAGTATATATGTTATTATAAAATCCTTAGTTGGATTAAGGAATATCTTATAAGAAAATAAATGAAAACATCGAAGGGTACGCCAAATAGCTAATGACAGAATAGTAGTCAAATTTGCAACAAAGAAACACTTATTTGAAGAACGCCTATCAATCGCAAAAAGCTCATTAGCCGTGCCTCTAACACAGCTTCAATCAACTTTATTAAGCAAAGAAAATCTAAAATTTTATGGTCGGTGTCATGTGGCAACGCATAAAATTGATTCATTCTAATACATCAGATATAAAGAAAGAACATTCTCTTACTATCTAGTTAATTGTCACGAAGTGTTATACTAGTGTGAGTTTGACTTTTCATATGATTTATCATATAGTTGATGCAAAAGAACTGAAAAAAAACCATTAGATCATCTATATCCATCTGTCATTGAAAATCGACGATCTCAGCGCGTAGCATTTGTAATATCGATTACGTCTGATAGCTTATAAATATGACATGAGGACTAATAAAACATGATTATTAAAGTAATCGGAACTGTTTTTCAACCTTGCTAGAGGCGCAGCTAATGATTCTTTTTGAGACAGATAGACGTTCTTCAGATAAGTGTTTCTGTGTTGCAAAATTTGACTACTATTCTGTCATTAGCTATTCGGTGTATCCTTCAATGTTTTCATTTGTTTTCTTATAAGATATTTCTTGATCCAACTATGGATTTTATAATAACATATGCACTCTGAGTACGATATGCTGATATAAGAATCACAAAATTTCGATAAATCACTAATGAAGAAAACATTGAAGTAAATCGTTTCAAAATCAATTGAATGACCTACACATAGCACGAAATCAAAGTTATAACTTTCATATAGAAAGTTTTTCAGTTCTTTATATAAGACTCAAATTTGAGGTTTATTTTTGGTGATTACATCAGGACTAGTGCTCGGCGTGGCACACAGTTATGACAATCACAGATACTAAAATAGGCATATATCCTATGTCTGTGTTGAATGTATTAGTTTTTACATAACAAAAATAATTTCACGTTTTTAGCTAATTGCGATAATTTACTCATTATTTTTCAATTAAAACAATTCGACATAAATTTTACAGGATACATTAGAACTCATTAAAATTAAAAAATTTTGCCCGAACAAATAAAAATTGTGATTGAGGGTCAAATGAAATCTTCAATTTTCTAGAATTCTAATTTCTCCTGTAACAAAATAATTACAACAAGCGCAAAATATAATAAAAGTATATTTAAGAGTTAAACGAAACACGTATATGTTACTATTCCATAGAACGGAATCGAAGAAATTAATAACATAGATTTCTTCCTCTTCGCTAATAATCCTATCATTTTTATTTCCTTTTGTCTTTATCGAACTTTCGTTAAAATAAATATTGTTTAAAAAAAAAATCACAATTTGCAATAAACTAGCAAGAATGACCATAATCAAAAAGCTTGGTTACGTCAAGCGCTGATCATGATCCTATATTTCAACTATAAAATTGTCAAGAAAGCTTTGAATCTAATGAAACTTTCAAGACGTGTGTGACGATTTGGCTAAATTATATTCTGAAAATTTCATCCGCATTCAATTTCGTCTCTCAGAGATTCTAAAAATAGAAAAGAAAAAGAAAACGCAATTTTGTTACGCTTGAAAAAATCAACATCATACGTTTCTAATAATCATAAAAATGAACTTTACAATGGCTCGATTATTCTAGAGTAGTAGATCAATGCTAGTGAAGAAACATAAACTAATTATTCTGACAAAAATACATGTCATTTGCCAGTAAAAAAAGATGTCATGTTTTTGTGATTAGTATTTAATGATGATAATTTTCTTTTCAATATTTTCTTAATCAAGCTAATTTAGTCTTATCTAAAGAATTTCTACTATCTTCGGTGGCCATTATTTCTAATTCGATTATACATTTCACAAGAGTTTTCTTTCTTTAATGATATTTAATTGCTATTTGTCACGTATATTTTAAAGCATGAAAATTTACAACATGATATATTTCACTGTGCGATATTGGACATTAACAAGCATGAATAACAAAATAAGAATCGACAGTATACAACAAGAAAAGCTAAACCAAAAAAAGACATAAAAAAAACTTTAAAATGTTTCTTTTATTTCATTCTGTTTAATCAAATGAAATTAATGTTTGTTCATTTGATTGCATAGATGGATGTACAGAATAGGGTTGTGGAATTTGAGATAATGGAGGTGCAACAGGTTGATGTAGAGCATCTGACAATGCTGTAATCGAAAAAGAATATGTCATTTATTTTAAGTCACATACAAAAGATTCTTTTGACATTTTCTATATGTATATACTTACGTCCCATGGAGAATGAATTTGACGTTAATTGGGAAGGAGGCGTTGGATGTTGATAATGATAATAACCGACAGATGGCAACGATTGAACATACGGAATCTAATTAAAATTATAAAAAAGATTAAACACGAATAAAAAAATCTTTAGTTTTTACTTGATTGATACGATAATCAACTTGATTTTGTTGTTCACGTTGTTGAGTATAACGTCGTTGTTGATCAAGACGTGCTTGCATTTCAGCTTCCTGTTCAGCAAGACGTTGTAAATGTATTTGTCTTTGATATTCCAAATAAGCCTAATTAAATTGAATAAAAGATAAATTATGAATTTCTCTTTTTTTTATTAACTTGTTTCTTTTGACGCATATCATCGAGTTTAGCAGCTAATTGTATTTGACGTTGTCTTTCACGTTCAAATGCTTGACGTTTTTTATTTTCAATATGTTCATCACGTAATGCATTTAAGGCTTCTCGTGCATCTTTTAATTGACTTAATTTATCTTGTAAACTTTCATAATAAGCTAAAATAGATCATAGTTTTGTTTTTTATTAAAAAAAAACTAAATATAAACCTTGTTTATCATCAAGTAATTTTATATAGCGATGTAATTCAGGATACATATGTTGAAGAGTAAAAAAAACAGATTGTACAGCTGTATCATTAGCGATATTTCGGCCACGTTGTTGATTACTTAACATACGAAATTTAATATTATTTATATGTTCATTAGCAGAACTGATAAATGCATCAATTTCATCGTCACGCACATAATTATCTAATGGATCCTTAAAGAGTACAAAAGAAAAAAAAAACTTATTCATTCGATTTCTTTCTGAAACATGAACGCACTGCGGCAATTGTTGTTGTTCCAAGATCATTTTGTACTTGTCCTTCCCAATAATTTCGATCTAAATATTTGGCTAATTCACCACCGACAGTTTTTTGTTCGTTATCATCCTGTTATATAAAAATACAGAGCAAGGTTAGGACAAATCTTGACCTTTACTATTAGATAAACATATGTTCTAGATAAATTTCAACCTTCATATATCGATATTTATTCTAGAATAAATATAATTTTTAATACCTGATCAGCTATTGGTGCTGAACCTAGTGGTGTTGGCGGACATTGAATATTTGACATAGCATATTGCTGAGTTAAAAATTTCTTTTGACGTTCTTTGTCTTCAGCTTCACTTTGAGATAACGATATTGCTAATTGCAGAGCATCTTCTTCATCAAGTTCAGCTTGGCTTTTTCCTTTAGGTTTACTTGTTGATAATAGTGCTGGTGGATGTACACTACCAGTTCTTTATAAAACAAAGGAAAAACAAAATTATTCTTTGTTTACTTTTCCGGAATTGAGATGACTAAGAAATTTACGCTGTTAAACGATCATAACATGATTCACAAACTCGAACTTCATCTTCAATACCAAATTCGAGTAATTGACTTGATTTAGATGAACCTATTCAAATAAATTTATATTTAAATAACAAAAATAATAATACGTACAAGTCGCACAAAATGTTTCTCCACATGCTCGACAATGATGTTTACGAGTAAACGCTGAAAATGATGTATGACAACGAAAACAAGAATCTCGTTCAGTCCTAAAGAAACGATTTTCAGACAAAAAAACAACAATATAAATCTCAAAAGTACAAACCATGCTGGTGGAACTTGTGTAGGAAACATTGTTTACTCGTTTTTCTTTTCTTAATAAGAATATTTCAATGACACAGGGGTTTAATAGTTAAGATAAAAACAAAAGATTTATTTATATACACGTCATTAAAAAATTGACAATAAGATATGAGTCAATTCAACGGGATGTTTAAAACAGTGTTTTATTATTGGTTAAATTCTTTCGCCAATAAAATATTCTAAATAACACATGATTCATCGTCGACGTAGATCATTCGATTCTCCCATTTATTACACTACGGTTAAATGTTTAGGTGTACATGCTCTACCCATCCATACGACTTTGTTAATTATATATTTTGCGCGTGATTCTTAACAGACAAATACAGATAGCCTTGATATATAATTAATTAAAATTAATTTTTAAGAAAAATAATTTTCAATTTAATAAAATGAGTTTAATGCCAAGTGATGAAGTATCTCTATTGAATGATGGGCGTTATAAAAATTTTATTGCAACATTAGAAAGAGTTCTTAAACAATTTGAATATTCATCTGAATGGGCTGATCTTATAACAAATCTAGTCAAAGTTAAAAAAGTAAGTATAAATGTTAACTGTTTATTGATTTTTTTTCTATTACTTTTCTATTAATATAAAGGCTATTGAAAGTTATCCAAAATTTCTTTCAATACCTAAACGTATAACTCTATCAAAACGTCTTGCACAATGTCTTCATCCAGCATTACCATCTGGTGTTCATTTAAAAACTCTTGAAGTTTATGAAACAATATTTCGTATGATTGGAAAACGAAATTTACAACGTGATATTATTTTATATTCATGTGGTTTATTTCCATTATTACCAGCAGCAGCATTACCTGTTAAACCTGTTTTATTAACATTGTATGAAACATATTTTTTGCCATTAGATGACGCACTTAATCCAATATTAACTGGCTTTTTACTTGGATTATTTCCAGCATTAGAAGAAGGTGCAGATTATTATGATAGGATATATGCATTACTTGATAATCTTTCAAATCGGATTGATAAATTTTATTTTTATACATGTATATGGTCAGCTATACATTTAGTTGCATCTGCAAGACATTCAGCATTAACATTTATATTAAATCATTTTGATAAAAGAAAAACTATGGAAGATCAACTTTATTTAATGGGTTCATCTGTTGAAACAATGGTATAAAAGAATAAATTAAAGTAAAATAAAAAAAAAAACTTTTTATCTGTTTTTTTTTCTATAGGTCTCTGCTGTATGTACATGTCTTCAAGATCGTGAACAATCATTAGTTCAACGCTCTATACTTGATTTTCTTCTTATATGTTTACCAATGCATAATAAACAATTAACTAAAATTGATATAATGAAAATCATAACTGTTGCATTACATGTATTATTAAAACGTGATATGTCATTAAATCGACGTATATATGCATGGTTTCTGGGCACAGAACAATTACCAATTGATAATAGAAACCAACAACAACATATAAGTGAAATACATTCATCAACAACATCATTAACTATAACAAATGATCCATTTAATTCATCATCATATTTTGTTCAATATACAAAAGAAAATTTAATACAATCAATATTACATGCACTTGAAAGAATATCTTCAAATACATTATCAACAACAGGAAAATCAAAACCAACGACACCAGATGAAAATATTGCATTGGTAACAAGTATTGCTGAGTCAATGCCATTGGCATGGACATTAATAAAATTAATTCGAGTTCTTATTATTCTTGGTATGAATCTAATCACTTTGTTTCCTTAGAAAAATAAGTGGATTGAAAGATTCGAACATAAAGTTTTCTTTTAAAGTTAAGATATTACGAGGACTTATTTTTTGAATGTAAATTTATTATACTCTAATTTGTTCGAAACATTCAGCAATTGGTTAATAAGTCCAATATCGTTAACATTGGATGTCTCCTTCTAATAATCATGTCATCTTTTTATAAATATTCAATCAAACAATCATAAATAAAAAAATAATTTTTATGAAGAGAAATCTTTTTTTCTGTCCCCTTCTAGTCTACTACAAGGTTATAAAGTAAAATTGTGTGTGAAATATACGACAAAACATCTTTCATAAATTTCAAGAAAGTCATCGTATCTTGTAAAATTATTGACATTTTTGCGAGACTCAATTCCCTTGAGTAATATTTTTACAATATCAATGATGACCATGAAACTTGTTTGTTTTGTCATTACTTCAAAAGTAAAACCATTAGATAAGATTTTTTCTCACAACAAAAAAAAAACAACCTAATCGTAATATTCAATGACAAACTTAAAAAAAATTGATTTCTGATATTTAATTTAGTTGATAAACCAGATGTTGGTCCAAATATTCTTGAATCTGTTTTAATGAGCTACTTATTAATTGTTTATCAACAAATCTATTTACCAGCCAAACAATTAACATCAATAAATGTTCAACAAGAAAATCATCGTTCTGAAACATTAAAAACTTTAAATATGCTTCTTGATACATTCGAACCTTATTTTATATGGGAATTTTTAACGAAAAGTTTCGATATTATTATAACTGAACAACAAGATCAAATAATTATAACAGTCGGAACAACAATTGAACAATTATGTGGAATAATAAATATGTTACTTGATATTGCATCATTAGATTCATCAACTGATATACAATCCGAACATTTACCTGAAATGCTTTATCATCTTATAAAAACAATGAACAATAATATACATAAATTTACAGCTGATCAAATAACATTATGTGTTGAGGTTTTATTAAAAATTTTAAAAAAAGTTGTACCAACAAATACAACACATCGTTTATCAATATTTCATCGTTCAACAAGTGATGATATTCTATCATTAACTGAACAAAATCAACCAATAGATAATATATTTGATGAAAATTTAACTGATAGTGAAACTGATGATGATGATGATATAAATCCTGAACAAATATTTTATACTGATAATGAATATTTAACTGATACAAATAATCAATTAACACCAACAAATAGTACAAATCAATTACAAGAATCAATATTAATAAATGAACAACAATCTATAAATGATATTGAACGTCTTCTTCGTCATATGGTACGTAAAGTTGAAAAACAAATAAATAAATTAAATAATGAAAATAAAAAACTCTTAAATGAACAACAAACAACAACATTATTAACTAAAACAATATTACAATCAATGAATCATTTAGAAAAATCCATAAAATTATATAAAATATTTTTTCATCGTTTTATAATAACATTTTTAATTGATAATAATAAAATAACAATGTATGAAAAATTTCAAAATATTTATTCCATAACACAAAAAAAAACCAACGAAAATATTTTAGCACTATTTAATCATTATCAAACACAAAATGAATTTCAATTAAAATTAAATGATAATGTCGATTATTATAAACGTGCATTTGATGATTGTTGTAAATTACTTATTGAATTTTGTTGTTTTCAAAGACAATCATCAATTACAGATCAATCAACATTATCAAAAGGTATTCAATTATTAAATATATTCTTCTGCTTTTTTTCTTCTATTCACTCATTCATTATAATATTTATGAGGAAAAAAATTCTTTTATAACATCCAAAGTTATTTATTATTAATAGATCTATTCGAGAATAAACAAATTGATGAGTGGCGTAGACTCTATAGGAAAAAAGCATTTTTTTTTGAGTCACTCAGATCAGAGATTGGGTCAATTTCATTTTTGACTCAGATATACTTTCAAAAAGTTATTCGATAAACCTCTTTCCAAAATAGAAACATTCTCTAGAGGAATCGCTGTAACAGACAAATTAGAGGCTCCAGGGATTTTATCGTGTCCAGACAATTTTATTTTTTCGAGGAAAACTTTGCCGATGCTATTAAATAAGCTTTCAACAATTGCCGTCTACGTATAAAAAAATGTTTTTTTCCTTACGTCATATATTCATGATTAAGAATAATCTCCAAAATTCATTTTCATTTTTTGTCGACGTATAAGACTATGATTACTATGTGTTCTATTATCGCCACTTTATCTGAGAACAAGTATTTGAATATTATCACAGATTAATAAATTCATATTTCTTTTGTCCATAATGTCATGATATGGTATGAATGTATGACCCCTTTCTGAGTTTTTCGAAGTTCTGGTAGCTTCTACACCCACGAAGGGTTTACTGTGTTTGTTTGTCAAATAATGTTTTTCAAATATTCATCGATTTGCATCAGCCTCTGCACATTTTAAGTAATGCTGCAAATAAAGTATTGAGCGTTAATAACTAATCAATTTCATGCTCTCTGCTTTGGCGAATTTTTCAAGGTTACTAATACTATTTTTACGAAGAGAAAATGACTTACGGCTAACACATAATGATATATTTTGGAAAATCATGTTTTTTTAAAGCAACACTTAGCACATGCAACATTCAATGTCATGCTGTCCGATATAGAATATTCTGAACATAAGAATATGCCTGTTAAGCTGATGAGTAAGCATGATTTGTTCTAGTCGAATAAAACAAAATAGCAATCATATCATCCCGTCAGAACGATTTTATTTTTGAGTATTTTTACATTTTTATGAAAAAATGCCAAAATTTGTTGACATATTTGAACTGTCAGCAAAGCCTTTATTATTATTTTCCTGCATCTTTTTTTCACAATCGCAGTCATACGATTGGGTAGACGTTAATCTTGTGAACAAGAAAATGTCATTAGAAAAATAAAGACCATAGTTTTATAGAGCGGAAAATTTTTCTATCAAACCACTTCCTGAAAAGTGTATACGAGTGTTCGGAAAAAGGGAATATAATTTTTCATATTTCTATGATTTGATAAAAAGAAATCGTCACTTGTTATATAAGATTAATGAAGCATAAACTAGAAAATATATATTTAATAGAATTATTGAAATATTGATGTTTGTTAAAGATCAACTGAACTAGGATGGATACATAGAGAAAATGCTCAAAAAATATGATTATTCAAGATTATATTAAGAATATTCAAAATCG